TAAGTCGAAACCACTGACACTCTTCAGGGATCCTAGCACTTGTTTTGGAAACTTTCCAACACGTGTTAAGACATGTCGCAAACTTTAACTATTATTTTTTTTAAATTTTTACATGAACCACTTTCGGACACTTGAGGATACACATATCCATTGCTCAGACATACATAAAACTAATATACGTTTGGACAGATTAACTTTAGAAGTAATGATAAAAAGATAACAATATAGATTATAGGGCTAAAGTTGTTATGTTGATTTTATCTTATTTATCTTAATCAGAATAATCCATTGTAATCACGAAACATATAATAAAACCTATCTATTATTGTTGTTGTCCCCCATGTATTGTGTGCCCTACATTTTTTTAAAAATTGAAGTGCCTCGGTGTGTCGCATTGCCCATAAAACAATCCATTGCGCTGGAGATATGAGATTCTGGTCGAACAGGAAGGGTATCCTCCATACTAGCTCTCGAGTTGTTACCATTGCTTCTTCATATTGCATCAAAGACATCAAGCGCTCAAGGAATAAAGATTGGTAACCACCTAATAACAACGGGAGGGACTGGAAATGCACTTAAAATTGGAAAGAAAAGTCTGTATTGATTATTCTTTCTTTTTTCTTCTATTGCACTAAGATAGTTTGTGGATATCTAAACTGAATATTCATGTTAAGGTTTACATTATTACGACCCTTTCAATAGAATTTAATATCAAAACTAGCACACATTCTTTCCAGGAGCAGCATAGAATCCCATGCTTTATGTAGCTGGAAAAGGAAAAAAGATAAAACACGAAAAAGAAAACACTTCAAGCTTATCAGGCTAATTCAAAAAGATCTAGGAACCTCGGGATTTTCTTGAAGTTCTGATGCATCAATGACTGCTGGGGGCTTTCCCAATTCACAAAGCTCACTGTATATGGAGACCAATTCTCCCAATCCTAGCTCGAGAAACGATGGGGGCACGACCTTGTCAAAAGATGGCTGACAACATTCAACAGATTAAAATTAAGTCATGGAAATGATGAAAATCAAAACCAATATATTAATATAGATAGTCAACAGGATACGGAATTAATATATTTATAAAATTTTCAAAAATAGATAATTTACAGGAAATGATACAATATAAAGGAAAAACTATTTAAGGGGCCTATCATCTAAGATAAATGACAAATAGAGGTTACAAAAACGACTTACCAAAATACTAAGTGGATTTCGTATTAATATGAAGTGCTTTCCATTTTTTATCAAATCATCAGACAAACCAGGTACGCGTTGTTTTGAGATATGCTGTAAAGAGGAAAAATGAGAACAAGTTTGTGAAGTGATATAGTTTGAAAGTGAATCAGTTCCTGCACAACAGATTAGCATGTGGAAATGACTGACACTTTCTGCATGCAACCAGTAAAATGAAATCTTGGGATTAGCTGAACCACATATAATTTTACTGAAACCAACCATAACTGAGACCAATGAAAGCTCACCAAAGTTCAGAAAAACTCAGGATTTTATTTACTAACAAATTTTGTGAACATATTACACTTTCAGAATTTCTAAGATTAAGATGCTGTGGTAGTGTAGTATTATGATTGATTTATAAATCATGAACTCAAGGAAATTTATATGACCAGTTATCAATCTTTATCCAAATATGCACACGTTAATGTACCTTTCGGGAAATACAATTTAGAAACATAAGAGTTAAAACACTGTGTATTTACTTCAATTGGTGATCCCCAAAAGTGTATCTAATAGACTGTAATTTGGCTGACTTTTTTTAGGCGTCATACTTTAGTAATAATAAAGGGATTCAAATGATCAGAAATTTGCTAACATAAGAGACTGAGTTACAGCTCCATCAAAGGCTAGTCCCGAAAATTCAGAAAATATTGAAACAAGTTCAGGAACATAGGCATTTTGGAGTTGCTTTACTCTTCATCAATTTTAGAAGGAAACGATAGTAGGCATATGTAACAACCCTCATACTGTTTACTGATTAATGACTGATTGATTACCGATTACTGCTAAACGGGACTGATAATTGAACTGATTAAAAGTACTGAACTGACTGACTGAAATTGGAAACCGAATTGATTGAGTATATGTTAGTTAAATTGCATTTTATCTGTTTGACTGTATGATTATCTGTTCATGTTCATATGTTTAAACTGCTAATTGAAGGCCTTAGCGGCGGCCGAATCCGAAACCGATTAGTGTTCTATGACCCTCATAATTTATGTGATTTTATAGTACAATTATCTGAAAATTTACTAGGTATGATTAAATTAGATTAAATAAGCTAATTAAAGAGTTGGACTTAATTACCGAATTGCCACCCTTAGTGGCCCACTCAATACACACACTTGAGCCTTATGTACACACTTGAAGAACATTTCATCAGCCATTTTCTTGCTCTAGCTGACCAAGAGAGGGAGAGAGTGAGAGAACTTGGAATTCATCTTGAAGAATTGCTTGGATTGAAGTGTAGATTTCACATTGAGCTTCTCTATCCTAAATACAAGACTTAAGGTAGCTCCATTGTCTTCTTGTTCATGTTTTGAGTGGATTCTTGCATGGTTCATGTCATATTGATGGAGTTTAGAGCCAATCATGGGTTAGATGTTGAATTGAAGCTTGATTGTTGCATGCATGTGGCCATTCTTGAGTTTTGAGGTTGTAAGTTCATGTTTCCTCACATGCATGTCCATAATTTTGTAATGGTCCATGATTTCATCATGTTTTGAAAAGAATTGGCTCTTTAGAGCATCAAATCGAAGCTTTGAAATGGTTTGAATTCGTGCATGTTTGCATGTTCATCTTGTGCTTGGAAAATGGCTTGAAATTGGGTTTGAATTAAACACCCTTGGACTTTGATTTCTCAAATTGAGTTTTGAATCGACCAAATTGTTTCAATTGGGTCAACACATGGGGTGAAAGTGTAATTAACCTTTTACATTTTATATAAGTTGGATTTAGTATAAGAGTCACTAATGGCAGGTTGTTTTAAATTTCAAAGTCACAAAATAGGCTTGAAAATTGAGTAACATTTGGTTTTTCTTGTATTGAGTAAAAAAATTGAGTAACAATGAAGGAATGGAGATAGTTTTGGAGGTGTTTTACTCAGATTTTGGATTTGTTATGGGTAAAGGGGTTAAGGTGAGATGCCCTCATATGCATTAAGTATTGTAATTCTCTGTTTTAGTCTATATTTTTTTGATAATTAGATGAGTTGTGTTGACTGCACTCAATTAATGTTGTAGTTCTCTGTCTTTTTATATTTTTACGATAATTAGATGAGGTGGGTGATTAAAAATACCAGAGAGAAAAAAAACTATGGGAGTGTTGATCTATCTATGGGTTGTGCAATTGAATTTAACTTTGAATAAGTTATTAACTATTTTAAATATGAGAAACAATAAGGAATTCAAAATTTTGTGTAGGCTTACTCTTCAATTTAGATAGGTAATGTTTGTTTTAGATGAATAAACATTTAAATTTTACATAGACGTATTGATTTTTGTGTTGTTTCTCTTAACGCAAGCACATCAATTATCTATTTTAAACGATCAATTGGATGTTCAGTCACTTTTTTTTTTTCTCATTATTATTATTTTTAATATTTAATTAATTATCTATTATTAACACAACAGGATTGAATTGCTGTATCTGTGCTTGATTATATGATCATGTTGGATTATTATGATCCTTATTCATTATATGACTTTTTATATTGACGATCCTATTTTTGAATCATCACTTTTAACTTGTTTTAATGGGAATATGTTACAATTTACAGTATCACTATGAATTTTGAAACTTTTACTTTTAGCTTAACTTCACTTGTTTTTTTATTCCAATTATTTGTCTATTCAAAGGCCTGCTTTGATCACCAATTTGCTGATATTTATATTGAGCTATTTAGATTACATTCTCTGGATTGCTTAGAGTACAGTTATTGAGATTTGGAGATATGGGATGGAAGTTAGTTATTGATCTGTTGTTGCATTATATTGTTTTGAATATTTGGTGGAATGGTTCTTGATCTAACATATGTGTGTTTGTTAGTGAGGGCATGCGATATACATGATTGCTCAGGTGTAACTTTAGCAGAATGAGTTTGGAATGGGGACATACGTTTTGGATTGACTAGTGGAGCTCACTAAGTCGATGATTTTCTGAGATGTGTATCTGAGTGAAGGAATTGTAGTGATGACAACATTCGATGGTTTTTAATGAATTTGTGCCAATGTGTCTTTGTTTCTTGGTAATATGAACTTAGATCAGACTGTGTTATCTTAGAACTTATCGTGTGTTTGGGTTGGCGGGACAGAGGGATGATATAGAGTGCTTGATGAACCTTGTACGCATATTCCCTCAGTACTAGGGCGGGTGTCGGAGCGGGACGTACGAGAAGGAGAGTCTCATCATAGGAAATGGTATGTGAGATGATGCATCACTCTCTGCATTTCCAACCTTTTCATCCTATTTTCTTAAAGCTTTATGAATTTTCTCCAGTCCAGCTTAAAGTGAATATTTCTGTTTCTCCAGTTGTAAGCTTCGAGGATTGTTTTGGTGTTTCTGAAGCACGCTATTGGTGAGAGTGCTTTTAGTTTAATGTTTTTGAACTCTTGCAAGAAAGAATATCATTTTAGTAGTCGTTAACAGGTAATTGTGTCTATTACGATGTGGAAACTGTTCTGGCGAGTTTAATTGTGCAGCTCTAGGATGACAGCCAGTGGAATCAAATTGAAGTTTCTTTATGCAGAAAGTTACTTAATTTCCACTCAATTCATTTCAAGACACTTGGTGATCAAAGAACTAGTGGAAGGGTCTATAATAGGGGTTTGTTTTGTTCTGTTGGCTGTTATGATTTATCTATTATATATCTCGCAGGTGTTCATTCACAGAGGGTAAGTTATCTATCTTCTTCAGTAAGTCTCCAGTTTATGAATCGCAGTGTCTATGCGATGTTAATTGTGGATGCAACTGCTGGTTTTTACTGTATTTATTGACATGTAGAACTAATGGTTTCTTCTCTCTCATTTTTATGTCTTTGTTGTAATGCTCTCATAGGTTGTTGGTAGGGTTGATTGTTTGTTATATGACATTGCCATAGGAATCTGATAGGGGGATAAAGAGTGAGATGAAGTTCATTTTGGCCGGATAAAATAAATAATCGGTTCATGTAAAGGGGGGTAAGGCATTCAGCTTTTCTTTTCTCTCAGTTATTGACAGATCGCTCAAGTGGTCTTGCATGAGCCTATGGACGAAAATTTTTGATTTGACTCTGTGTTGCCCGGTTGGTATTTGTTCTATTGGTTAGTAAATCGCATGCTTTGGAATAATTTGTCCAATCTGCAGAATGTATCGTCCATGACTGTCATCTCGGATAGTTACTAATCCATCTGTTTGGCGTTCATCAATTTTTGAGGAAAGGCAAAAAGGAGTAGGAAAGTTGCATGCGGACTCATCAGGACTGTGTCGTTAACATGGAAAACAATGAGGAAAAGAATAGTGAATGAAGTTATGTCTGGACAATAACTAATTTCATCTTTAGTGTAAATTTTATTTCTTTATTCCTTCTCCTGTTCGAATGTATTTGCACTGTCAAAATTGGATATGGGATTGTAGTTTTAACATCGTATTAAATAGGACCAGAAAAATAATATGTTTTTATTATAGAACACAAAATTCTGTTTAAGGAGAAAAACAAAGACACCCAAACGTGTTTTCTGTTTTATAGTCCCTTAATTACAAAAGTAAGGTTCTGAAACGTTTAAAAAAGGCATTAGAAAATTGTATAATCCTCAGTACTTAATGCTATATAAAAAGCAGAGTGGAGTTAAAATAGTATAAAATATTTTCGTAACTAAACCATTTTAGGTTTAATATTTAATCTACTTTTAAGTTTTCAAAGAACTTGTTCTATAGTAGGAAAACTTTAAACTTTTAACGGGTGAAAGTATGTCTAATAACAACAAAGATAACTACATACGTTGACTAGAAAGTAGATTATTTGTCAAAACAGAGAAAATAAAATAGAAGTACCATACTTGTTTATCTAAAAAATATTATTTTTAAAAAGTTATATTAATTTACTAAAAGCAAGTTAACATTATTATTATTATTTTTCTTTCAAAAATTGCTAAAGAAATTACTACTGGACCATGTAACTCCCACATGAACAACCCCTAAAAGACCAGATAAAAGGACAAAAATTCACCCAACTAGTGGAAGAGATCTTGTAGTAGCTAAAGTTGGAGGATTATGATTCTTTGAGCAGAGACAACATACCTGAGTAGATTCTTTCCTGAGTAGAGAATGGAAAAAATCCAGCATTGATTTACCTGACAGAATTTAACTTGGATTTTGAGAAGGTCAAATACTCCTCTCTAGTGAATGAATGCGTAGTAATTTTCTTTGTATTTCAGGTTTCCACCTATGCTTCACGACCCAAAACCCGGCCTTATTGGGTTTAGCACCGTAACCGGACCAGTATCTGAGATACGAAGGCCTGCAGACAGTAA